GGGAATTCTGGGGACTGTAGTTTTGTGAGACATTGAGCCTTCTCTGTCGGAGGGCTCTGGTGTCACAAGAAACTACAATTTCCAGGATTCCCTAGCACTGAGCCAGGGCAGTTAAAGAGGTTGCAAACTGGATTCTTTCTGGGGTGTGTTCTGGACCTAAGGCAGGGTAACCAGAGGTCGTCCTCCTTTTCCAGGACGCATCCTCCATTCCAGCCTTCTGTCCAGGAGGGATTCCCAAAGGTCCTCCATTCTGAGCATGAATCTAATATTTATTGGAGGGTCTTGAGCTTTTTCTTTTTTAATGTCCCCCTACATTGGGGTATAGAGAAGTACAACAAATATAATTAATGATATTTTCCATATCTCCCAAAATGGTTATTAATTTAAATGAAATGTATTTCCTCTGAGTGTCTGTTGGGGGGGGGGGAGGAACAAGTATTTTATGAATTATGGGTTATATAATTTGGGCTATGTACTATGTAAAATAAGAAAGTTTTCTTTTCTTTTCTTTTTTTAAAGTAATGTCCCTTCATAATGTCCTCCATTTTGCAGTGCCTGGTCCTCCTTTGTGTTTGGGACATCAGAGCTAAGGAGATTTTGTATAGGATTTATAATTTTCTGCATGTCATTTAGCCATTTTAGACCGGAGTTGTGCTCTTTATAGTGGGATTTAGCCCCCCTCGCGATCCTGAGTAGTGCACTATTTTGCACTAGTGAGTGCAAGTGCAAAATAGTGTGTAAAATAGCAGGTTTTATTGGAAGGAAAGGAGGCTCTTGCGTCTTTAGTTAGGAGTAAGGCTGCATCTACACTGCAGAATGAATGCAGTTTGACTTCGTTTTAACTACCATGGCTCAATGCTATGGAATCCTGGGATTTGTTGTTTTGTGAGCTATAAAAACAAATACAACATAATTAAAAATCCACAAGATCAGCGTTAAAATAGAATTAAACTATTAACGACACTAAAAAAACCCAATTTAAAATAAAAACAGTGGGGGTGTAATGGTTTTAAAGCTGGATTATGGCCCTATCTGCACTTCAGAATTAATGCAGTTTGACCCCGCTTTAACTTCTGTGGCTCAATGCTATGGCATTTTGAGATTTGTAGTTTTGTGAGATATTTCGTCTTCTCTGTCAGAGAGCTCTGGCGCCACAGCAAACTACAAATCCCAGGATTCCTTCGGATGGAAGCATGGCAGTTAAAGCAGTTTCAGCCCGCATTCATTCTGCAGTATGGCAGCAATGTAAGTGTGCTTCGCTTAAATGAAGCTCCTTCCCTTTTCAACTAAGTACAGGACTGCAGCCCAAACTTTTGGAAGTCTGAGTGGATTTCTTGCAAATGGGTTGGTCAGTTGTTGTTCCCTGCCTGGATCCATGGGGAGAGGAGGGTAAGAAATATAATAATAATAATAATAATAATAATAATAATAATAATAATAATAATAATAATAATAATAATAATAATAATAATAATAATAATAATAATAATAATAATAATAATAATAATGCAAAGTGTTTAAGGGTGAGAAATAAGGTTGTTATAATTAAAATATATTGGCTCAATTTATTTGTGAAATTCCCCTTTACTAATGATTTCAATCTATTGCACAGAAGACAAAATCTTTAAAAAGCAAAAAACATCCAACTGTGTAACCTTCTACATCTCTGCTCAGAACTAAGTCATTATTATTATTATTATTATTATTATTACAGTATTTTAAAAATTAATAACTAAAACTTAGTTCTGAGCAGAGATGTAAATAGGTTGCACAGTTGCGTGTTTTGGGGTTATTTGCTTTTTTAAGATGTCTTCTGTACACTAAATTGAAACCATTAATTGAAATTCGTGATGATGATGATGATGATGATGATGATGATGATGATTATTATTAAAAGAAATCCTGAGGCATTTGGAAAAAGCCAAAGGATTTCCTTTCCCTAAAGCCAAGGAATCTACTAGGACTTTGAAAGTCACTTGTAAAGGGAAGCAACTTCATTTAAGTGAACCAGATTTTGTTCTGGGTAGAGAAATAGTTTTTTGCTTTTCGGAGGTTTTATCTTCTGTACACTCAATTGAAACCATTAATTGCAATTCACGATGATGATGGAAACATGCCACAAACAAACTGAGCCAACATATTTTAATTACAGCCACTTTACTTCTGACCCTTACACACTTTCCTTGATGCTGTTCTCCCAGGTATCACAGAGATTAGGAGCCTGACCCGAAATAAATTTACACTCCAGTAAAATCCACTATCGAATAGGCTTATTTGCTAAAAAATAATAATCTTTAATTTTTCTACCACCTAAATTAATTGTATTGCTTTTCATTAATCGTACCATTAAGAGAATGCAGGGGGGGGAAAGAGATGTGAAGCTTGAGAAGAAATTGTAATTTCTTCACATTGCCGGGTTTTAGCATCCTTATTTCTTCCTTATGAAAATGTAGAACGTTTAAACAAAGAAAGAAGTAACAATAAAAAATATAAAGGAGACTTAAAAAAAATACTAATCGAACAATATTTCTCTATGTAACCAAAAGAGATCTGTTGCATTTGGAATGCAGTGTGAGTTTTCTTTAGTGTCACTCCAAATCTATCTACAGAAAACCCAAGTTTTAAATGAGACCAGAGTGGCAAGGTTAGTTAATAAAATTGTTGTGTGTTGTTTGTTAATTGTTGTTGTCTTCCGCATCGATCAATAAGGAGAGGAGGATAAGACATTATTATTATTATCATTATCATTATCATTATCATGATATTATTACTGTATTATTATTATTATTATTATTATTATTATTATTATTATTATTATTATTATTATTATTATTATTATTATTATTATTTTAGAACCCCAATTAGTTCGTTATTGGAATCTCCCAGATCTAAATAATAATAATAATAATAATAATAATAATAATAATAATAATAATAATAATAATAATACCAGATCTTTTAAAGCAACTATGACTACTATTACTACTGCTACTACTACTACTACTACTACTAAATTATATTATTATTTAAAATATATCTGGGGGATTGTAATAACGAATTAATTGGGTTTTTAAAAGTTATTATTATTATTATTATTATTATTATTATTATTATTATT